GCCTTACATGTTTGGCACATGTGCTCTCTCGTTATAATAATGTAAATATTGCTGCAGAGCATTTCTTTTAGAAGAATGTGTCTATTCAATGCAAATGATCTACAATTTTGAATTTTGTGTCAGGTACATAAGATTTTTACGGTAGAGCTAAAATTGGAGAGTTGAATAACTCAGTTATTTACAAACCAATTATTAATGAAAATATTAAATAATATTTAATAAAATAAATCCAAAATAAAACACAGAACAGTAATTGACGGATTACAAAAACACGATTTTGTCATTTTTATTGATCTATTCTACAAACAGATACAACATGTTTAGTATTAAAAACAATAAAATCAACACACACAACAAATATCTTAGTTATTTGAATACATTTCCGAATTAATGGACTAAATGACTATTTCGGGTAACTATAACTATATCTCTAATATTAAATTGCAATTTTTCATGCCTTTATTGACACAAATTCGTTAAAAATTTAGCTTGAATCAATATTATTACATATTTCGCTTTCAATTGAAACTAAACTGAAGGAGAGTCCGCTACTAGCTACGGAAACTGGAAGGAAAATTTCTATAGCCATTATCAAATTTGGAAAAGTAGAATCTAAGTTATTATGAGATATAAACTGAAAAATGAAACATTCTGCTTCCCAAATATCCATTTATTAACGAAATTTGCAAATCATTGCAATACTTTTTTTTTAAGAAAATAATTTTTATGATAATTTCTTTGATAGTTAAAAATTACTAGACATCTTGCAAAATTTGCATAGTGCTTAGATGAATGTTCTTGAAAACATGGATGTTGCCTTTTGTAACTCCCTATTTGCGAATTTATTCTATAACGGTGAGGCCCTTTGGAAATATTTCATAATGAAAAATTAGTTAAGGATTTCGCAGCCAGTTGGTGAACTGCTTTCCCAATTCGGGTTTAAAACCTGTCGTCGGTTGAAATTACTTGATAACGTTTCGCTAGCACGATATTGAATGTAGATGAAGAAGCTTACGACTCGTGCTAGCGAAACGTTAGGGAACAATTTCAACCAACGGCGGCCTTAAGATTCGAATCAGGAGTAAAGCAATTCATAATGTTTACCTGGAAATTTTTGACAAGCTTTATCTACCTGCATAAGAGATAAAACAGCATTATTTGTTGCTCTGTAATATATTTTCCAACAAGTGTTGTAAACGGCATTGGAGTTTATTTGGGACGAGCGAAGTGAGTGATTAATAAACGCGTGACTTACAAAGTTTACCAAATGTGTTGCATAATATATATTTTCTACGACCTTTAGTTTTTCATTACATTTTTGCAAAACAACACGAACACATTGACTGACATGACCTGTAGAATTGATAAAATTTAAGCCTCCAAAAACATCTGATTGCTCTGAAACCCGTACGGTAATATCCCAGAAATGTTCGACGTAGCTCGGATCAGTGGGAAACGAAACTGATGTGGAAAAATGACACTTTCTCCACGTTAAATCGGTGTATGTGTACAGATGGGAGCAGAAAAACAGATTTCATGGTGTGTGGTTTGTGGAAAATCACGCAATTACGATGAAATCTATTTTTATATTGTTAAAGTGTAAAGTAGAAACCGTGGATGGTCTTAGGTAGGTTTAAAGAGTAAAATTTTTACATGAAAAATAAATGGTGTGGGAAATCAAACAGCTGATTTTAATATGCTGGTTCCAAACGTGCGATCAGTTTTTGTTTTTTCTATCAGCTCTAGTTTTTGAGGTATAATTCAATTGATATAAGCATTAATAAAGCGCAAAAATAGAGAAATAAATATATTCTTAATGGTCAATACAAAAATTTGCCACTTAAAATTATATTCTAATATACCCCGAATGGGCCCTGACCTGCTAGAGCAGAAAAACAATCTTTTGTAAAAAGATATCAGGATATATCTAGGACTATACAATTGGTCTTTAAGACATGTGTTGAGCATGTCCGGCTGTTGATATAGGAATGAGGAAGTGTCTAAAGTTTGGTGTACCAATAGAACCATAAATAGAAACAATAGACACCTTTTGATCTATATTCGCGCGGTTTTGTTTTTTGCAAACTAAAATATACACAAGTTATAAATATTTAATATTAAAATATAGCTCATAGCAAGAACAAAATCTGAGGCTCTTTTACATTCTACACTAAAAAATTATCCAGGAACAGTTTAAAAATCGCAGGTTACAATTATTTGTATTATCGGGATAATTTTAAACACATTAATTTGTTTTTTAATTTGGATTTGAAACCGGTAAGCTTTTCCATTAATGGTTCCATTAAAACTGAATCGTAAACGATACCAATCGAACTTTTTTTAAAGCAATATCTCAACAGATACAACGCAAACATGAAATTCATTTGAAAACAATTCCGCGTTTCGAAATTTTACGTCAGAAGTAGCCTAATATCTTTTCCGCCAGAGGTCTCATTAAATTGCCAAATACGTAAGATCAGAAGCGCGGCAACATACTTATCATATAAATTACGAACGATATCAAACCCGGACACGCGTCTCTAATTGGCGGCCACTTAAATTTCGAACATTATGTCTTTAGGCTGTTTAATGCGTCTAAAATAATCTCTTACATTCGACCCGCATCCATTACTCTTGTTCTTGACCTCCGGTCCACGCGCGGTACCATTTTTCATTCCGTATCAGAAACAGATAATGGCACCGGGCAATTAGTTTAATACATTTTCCTGTTACGAGATTATATAGTATATAGAAAGTTGCAAATGTCGTTTTCGTGAATCGCGCCGGAATATAGACCTCAGATCTTCTCTTCCTCTTATATGCTTCGTAGGTGGTTCGGACATATTCGGTATTTATTGACCGGGAAGAGCGGTATTGTTCTGGTTTTTATAATTCCAAACGGATGATTCGAGATGCGTGCGTGTCGCATATAGGCTTTTATGCGGTATAACGGATGTCCCATTCAAAACGTGGTACTATTATAAACATCCAAAGAATGGGACTCTGCTCCAAAGCAGTACAATATACAAAGCTACGACTGAGATAAATTTTACAATTCGATTCGCCAGCGCGGAATGCGCTGTCAACATAACCTCTCATGGGGTGATCTAGAATGAAGACTTCCTGTTTCGGCAAGCACGTTTACATCGTTGCAAATCAATTGCGCTCCCTTTTTTTAAAATAATTCGATGAAACAAGAGTCATGTTAAAGAAAAATGGAAAAAATTATCAGAATTCTGTACTACTCGGAGTCTATCTAGGCGCCTTAACGGATCCATGATAGATCACAACATTCGCTATAGAAATCCGATTCAGGAGTAGTTACAGTAGCATTGACCAAACGATTTAGAACTAAAAAAATAGTAATTATGTAGCGCATTCGCAACTCATGAGCTAAACTCCAAATTGGCAACATCACAAGATAAATCGTAGTTATATTATGTTTCAGTTTAAGTTTCATTCGCAATTACCATTTAATTTTTCGCGAACTGCTGAGAGATGAATTATAGAAAATAACATACTAACAAAATTGTACTGGTTCGACTGGATGGGATAATTAGGAACCGAGTTTAATGGCAGCTCGTATCATAACACACATTTTGGTGCCTGCAATTTTTCAGAATCCAAAAGAGTTCTCAGCTCTAGTTTTTGAGATAGGCTGTATTTATCATTTTATATTTTGAATTTATATATATTTTACGTTATAACTCTCATATTAATTACTATTAAGTTCGCGGACGATACAGCCGTTTTGTCAATTGCTAAACATCATCGAATGCTCACTGAAAATGTTGCTGCCGTTACAAATATTTGCCAACAATGGTTTTCTGCAAAAATTTAGTAATTACTGAACTAAAAATCCAAAAACTTCTTTTCTCCTGTAGTAAAGTGGACTTTCTAAATCAAAATAACATTAAACCCTATCCTAGACGGGCAATATTGACAAGGAACACTATTTCAGCGCGTACTCTTACTGAGGCGTCTTAGCTATTGTCTAAAGCCGGCGGCTCTCTGAGTAGCGTACTTTGGGTTGTTACACAGCGTAATTTTCTATGGTCTAGTGCTTCAGGGTGGGATCAGATATTCGGAAAAAGCTTTCCGATGTCAAAAAAAGGCTGTGCAAGTGTTGTCCGGAGCCGATCCATTTGCGCACTGTAGACCAATTTTTACTTACTCACTTACAGATTATGATCCTGCCTTCTATATACATATACCGATCGGCTTTATATATACGTGAAACCAATGATGTCTATGGAGTAACCACTAATAGGCACGATAGTTTACAATACCAGGCAAGTTGTTATAATCTCACCTGGTTACTCCAGACAGTCGTCCTAGCAATCTAAAAAGATTAATGTAATCTAAAATTTTATAATGTTCTCCCACCAAATCTTAAAAACCAACCTTTTAAGCAATTTCAAATAAAAATGAAAGACTTTTTTGCTCAAAACGTCTTTTATAGCACTAATAAAGATTTGACGTTACTTAATGATAATACGCTATAATGAACTTTCGTATTTCGTGTATTTTCATTATTAGATTTGTCTGTAATCTGATAGTTATTAGTCAAGTGTCAAGTTATAAATAGCGCTCTGAAGAAGTCAGCGAGACAGCGTCAATTCCCCACTGACAAGAAATCGAGAAAAAATATATATATCTCCAAATTCTACAGCCTGCGGAAAAATCCTTTAAAAAAAAAGTTATCTTCATCATCCAGGATTTTTTTAATGAGAATGTGGAAATTGTATAAATTTTCCAAAGTTTAATTTATAAATTAGACAATTATAATAGCATGAATATTCATTCAATAGAACTTATAGAACATCAACAGGTGCCAAAGATTGCTTATTTTTTAGAACATAGGCATATTTTACGTCATCAATAATAAGAAATGTTATTGAGTAAATTAAAATTTAACTGAATTCTTTTCATACAGTACACACCGTGACTTATCAGCACCGAATTTGTGCTGGAGAATATAATTTAGAATAAATACTTACGGCACACTTGGACGTATCCAATATTTCAACCTCCGTCGTTACGTTGTCGAATGTGACATTGTGTCTATAAAGGAAATCTGAAAATGAAAAATAAAGTCGTTAATTTCTCGGTGAAAACGAGAGAAAATTCAGCACACATGCGCATTCTACGTGGAAATATTTATTGCTCATTGAATATTCGATAAAAAATAGGAGGCAGGAGAATAACGAATCCAATAATTATTACTCTGGATATTTATTACAAAAGCTAATGGCGCGGCGCCACATCAACATCTAAATTAATTAAGAAAACAAATAATATACGTGATGCAAGGAAATTAATGTTTGCACACGAACAAATTAACTCTCATGGTAATTTTTATGGCATTTCTAACTATCGTACAGGGTGGCGTAAATAAAACGATCGCGAAACAGACTCGACTCCGTCGGAAACTTGTTATCTGGCCGGTATATTTGTTTTTGTTTACAAATAAACCAAAATAATTTTTAATGTATCATCTCTTGTTAAAACTTTTTGTCCCATATTTTTTTTAGTAAATATTACATTTAATATTAAATTAAATTAAATATTATATTTCAAATTTCGGTAACAACGTGACTAAACATATATAAACATACATATATAAACAAATATGTATTTCTGAAAAACCCATATGCGCATGAGTAGCATTTTTACCTAAGTCCATTTTATTACAATTTTATCAGTAAATATAAATCAATTATATCACACTAAGGGAAGATAGAGATGCAGTACCAAAGGATAGTCCATGCAATTGAGATCTGGTGATAGTTACTGGAATAGAAGTAAATTCTATGGGAGTAAATGACACATATTCTTATACTCACTGTATCTATGTATGTGTATCTATGTTAGGGAAGATAAAGCTGATGATCTCTTAATACAATAGATGTGTTATTTTTTGGGCTACGTAACTTGCAGCAAGTATGACTATACCGCCATCATTCTATAAATAAACCAAAGTTTATTTGTATATTCATAATGGACTGCAATAAATGTATCGCGACAATTCACTTTATAAATATTATATATACATATAATAAACATGTAATAACACTCAAGTTCTGACTTTTTAATGACTTCCTTATGGTCGATGGACAATAGCAATTCAAAAACAGCAACACCAACAACAAAATACTTAAAATTATTGTCACGCACCTCTGAGAAAACAAAAAAATATTAAATGAAGAGACTTTTACGTATATGACATTTATATGAACATCGTTTAATGAAATACTCCGTCGAAGATATAGCCAAAAAACATGGTTTAACTGTACTGGGAGAACTGAATCATATAGTGGGTGCTAGACTCAACACGACATTCAAAATGAAAGATCTTAAGCTACTGTTTGACGCGAAGGGTAAACCCCAGAGCCGTAAGTCTTCTTTTACGAATAGTTCTTCAAAATTCCACCGGAATTCCTTCTTAGTGTACACCATTAAAGAAGAACAGAAAATGTGGAATTTTGAAAATTATAATAGTCTGCTATGACAAAATTATTTTCTATTTACGAGCTTCTTACTTGGACATACATCACTTTCAGTGTCGGTGATGTATAATAATAGGCAAACTCATAAGCCAAGCCCGGGTGGTACTAACTCCAAATAACTTAGCTATTGGTTGGGTTCTTTTGCATCTCTTTCGCATTTCAACATATTTCATCATTGTAGAATAGTACTGAAACTAATACTCAAAACAAGTATGATAAATTCGATAAAACGAATTCTATGTTGAAATTCGAAACAAATCCTTCTAACGCGTCATCTGCATCCGTTAATAAGGAAGTAGTAATGCAGTAGTGTAAAATACTACCAAGCTGTAATATTTGTCAACCTTGCGCAGCGGTGTTGCCGCACTCAAGCGGGGCAGGTTTAATAAATATGCGTCGCTGCCGTGTGCAATAATTGTGTATCGTTGGGATGTGAGCCGGGTGAACCTAACCGAGCGTATTAGTTTGACTAAGTAGTCGCAAAAAAATCAGCACAAATGGACCACCTACTGTGACGTGTTGAAAGCGAACGGCATTTTTGCATTAATTGATTTATTGCATACACGGGGTAGGAAATTATCAGGACATGGACGTGAACGGATCAGATAAAATCGCTACGACAAGGCATTCGTAATATTCAAATTGTGCGTGTTGTGACTTGCTTTTTTTCTCGACTTAAAGAAAACAAGCAGCAGTACAGATCGCCTATCAAATGCCGGAAGGTTTTCTTAAGAAAAGCGAATGAGTCCGTGATTTCTATCAAATAACGAGTAAGACTTTTCAAATAAAAATTTAGAAGCCCCTTTAAATTGTATCATAATTTTACTCTGGGCTAAGCGTACTTAAATAGTCAATGTTGTAACAGGTAAACATTTCAATTTAAAACCGTCTGAAATATTAAGATAATATTTCGAAAAACTTTACGTGTCATCTCAAGGAAGGAAATGAAGCGCAGTATTTGTCTTAAGATTCTATATTTTAAAATTAAGGAAAATTATGCGTGGTTTTGTTGGCGTTCCCATGCAATAATGCTGAGATACGAAAAATGCCTTTCTTTCAAAAATATCTACAATCATGGAGCGATATTAAGATAATCTCTATCCTAAGCATACTATTATCAGTCCAAAATGCAACTAAAAATTACAAAAAAGACATGAATAAGGTCTAGCAGACTAAAATTAACAAATTTTCAGACTGTGCTATCTACCGTCAATCACCACTTAAACTTGCATCACAAACTTCAACCTTAGTGTGTTGATATTATATTAAATTTAAAAAAACAACCTATTCTGTAATTCGTCAGAGCTCAGCACAGGTCAACTTTGATCTCACCTATCGCATGTCTTCATTGGCAGGATACTTGGGTTTTCATAACTTAATATTTACTGACGGACTAGTGGCTTAAATAAGAACAAGTACCAAGTTTTATCTATGCTACAATTACAATACCTTTAAAATAATTCTCAAAAAAGATGCTGCTTGGAGCACAGTGTTCTCGAAGCTTTTGACCACATCATTTCTTATACTCTTTACATGCTTGTGTTTGGACCTGTTCTTTGACAGATATTACATGTATAACCTTTAAATTCTCTCTTAACACAAAAAAAAGACGCCAACGACTGTCGGCAGCATCCTTCAGCTTTTCGCGTAATGAGTGATAGATGCAAGAGAGACTGAATCTTAGGTTGTCTTTTGATTTCTTTTTTCCTTTCATTACTAACTTACGACCGGACTGACCCACACAACAGCAGATGCAATTACCTCGATATCGTAACAGGGTCTCCTGCAAGACTCAGTGAGGCTTTCGTCAGTTATATGACGTCTATGACCAGAAAAATGTCATAAGCGTTCTGTATGTATGCTGCCAGGGCATGACACTGTAGTTTGTTTGAATCAGGAAATTAATGACCTCTATAGCAATTCTAAACCTACGATGGACTTTAGACTCTAATCAGAACAACGGTTGCAATTAATTGGAGTTGTTTATTCTTTCCACTAAGAGGGTTTTCTTGGCTTGTCTTAAACGGTAGATTTTAAAATGTCTTTTAAAATTAGCTCCAGTGACTTATTTTTTATTTTTTGTTTTATGTTTTGTAACTTAAAGTGTAAATACAATAGTTATTTATGAGGTTGAAATATATACTGAATTATAGACCTGGTTTGCATTCATCCAAAAATACTAATAATAATGAAGTCTTACAATTTTTAGATGCAGATTTAAAACGACTTTACGAAAACTTAAATTTTATCGGCGAAGGTTTTTTTAGAAGATGTTTAAGTTCACCAATCTTAGACTATAGAATGGTTGCCGCACTCTATCCGCCAGCCAGAATCTGGATTCAAAATAATCCATTCCCTGCCAGCCGCAATTGCCCGCTCTTTAGATCGACACGCCGTAAAATTCGCGATACCGTACGTAAACAAATGAGTATACAGCCCGATATATTATCTCCATTGTTACCACCGTTTCGAATCGAAACAATTTATATCGAATAACAGTACTGCCAAGAGTCGCTTTTTTCCCTCCTTTTACACGAATAACTTCCCTCGGATCTTGATAGTGCGACCGTCGAGGACCATGGATCATTTAATTCGCTAAAGTTAAATTATCGGAATCATCAGTTTAGAATGGCCGATATCGTGTTACGTCTAAGCTAATCCCGGAAGTTTCCTTATCTCGCTGGTATCCATTTATCGCGGTAACTGTGAGGCGCCTGCTGCATTCCAGAAAGACCTATCGACACCCCTCTACCTAGGGACTTCAGTGTAATAAATTGCATCAGTAAGAAAAAAAATGAAAGTGAAATTATTTACAGCTATAACCTGAACGTTTTCTCTCTTATAAAGAAGATAATTTTAGATAAATAAGTAGAAAAATCTGAGGACAATTTGTGTTATAGTCGTGCACACATCAGTGAGGCAAATTTTACAATAGAAAAGGACGCGACTGTTCGTAATGAGGATTGTTCTTCCCCTTGCTCATGTTCTTCTCGTTGTTTGATTATTTTATTTACCAATAAATTCTTAGTTTTCGATCAGACAATATTTTCAAATTTCTAATGATTCCTATAGCAAAAAAGGGAATTCGCGACATCTGGTATATTTAGTTAATGAATCAAAATTAATGATCCTTCCAAAACTAGTTTAGTCAGAATGTTGGCAATAACCGGGATACCGGTTATCCACTGAGATTTCATTTTCAGTTTTTTTTTTTACTCAAATTCATTTCAAACCAATGTTTTTGCCATATTGTGAATCATCAGAATCTACTCTGAACTGTTATTGTGCAAATTTGAATGCACTGTAAATGCAAAAATCTTGAGAACACTAACTTCCTCTGAGTATAATATTTATATATTATATATATGTCGTACAAATGTTTAACAGAAATTGGAATAATCTTTATATTTTTATGTAAGCAATCTGAAGTTTTACTATGTACAATTAATTGTAGGACACCTACATATTATTAGATAGATACAAATTCTAGAAAGTGTAGGAAATTTTCTTAAAACTATAAGAAGAAATCTTAAGAACGGTTTCGCGTTATAGGGGACATGATTTACGT